TCTTAGAAAGTGAGCACATCTGGTAACGCTGGGCCACATTCCGTCATCACATGAACGGTAGAAGCCTGTTCTCACCACTTCCTGTTGTACTACCCTCACCTGCTACAGGCTTCCACACCTGCAGGCTTCCTGTCTAGAGTTTAGAGATTAGGTTGTCGCCTCTGCCCAAGAAGAGCTCCTCAAATATTTTCTGTATGGGACCCCTAAGTTTGGGAGAGTGACTGTTTTCCTAGGGCTCCCAGAGCAGTCAAAAGTAGCCTGTCACAGCCAGCCATTTCTTGGATGGGCCTATTCGGTGTTTTAAAAATGCAGATTTTGATTCACACTGTATAATGTATTTGTGTCGATTTTAGTGTAAGCATGTCTTATCTTCTCCTACCAAATCTTCAGTGTAAAACTGACATTCAGGAAGATGTGTCGTGTGTGTTCTGTGGCTCCTGATAGTCCTCACCTTTTGTGCCCCATGAGTAGCCTGATTTAAGTCTCAAAGTATAAAGGTGTGAGGCAAAGAGAGACAAGGACACGGAGAGTCACGAAGAGGAAAAGAACCCGAGAGACAGCAGAAGGAGTCTGAGCGAGGAGACCTCTTTCTGGTCCCTTCCCCAAGCCCAGCCTGGCCCTGTCCATCTACTGAGAAGTTTGCAGACATCACTGATGTCCCCGGACAGGTGTAACAGAGGTGGCTCAGGGTGGAAAGCGAGACCCAAAAGAGGAGCCAGGACAAGTAAGGGAGAGGTGAGGGGCTGAGAGCAGCCAAGTATGGTCGGACAGGAACCGTGGGGCTGTCTAGGCGCCAGGAGGGAGGCTTGGGGAGAGGAAATGGAGTACTTAAAAAAAGGCAGCTCAGCATTTGCTCTTTCTCCCTCAGACCCTGCCTTTGTTTCACTTCCTCTTACCCTTCTGCTTGGGGAAAATGAAGGAAAATCTTTAGCTTAGATGAGGGAGTTTTCTCTCCACAATGGCTACATCTTTAAGTCCCCTGTGCAAATGGGACTTTGCCTATTCTCGCTCAGATAAGAAAAACCTTAAATCTGTCTTCCCAACTTGGTTGGGTTTCTCCTCTCCACACCCCCTTTGGGTAAGACAAAGACAGATCTAAGTAACCTCTCCTATTCTAGTACCATCCCCGCTGTCCTGAGTGTGACAGACAGTTAGAGACGGATGTGGATATTTCCCGCTCCTCTACTGTGCTCCAAGAGAACTGGAGTCACAGAGGGGAGACTATTCGGGGTGTGGGCAGGGCCTTCAGTTCTGGAGAACACGTCCCACAGCTGAGGACCCTGAGAGGAGAGGAGGTTTGCTAATGGATACTACCGTGGTCCCAGAATCCAGGGGCAGTGCCGAGAAATCTCTGGGTTCATCCGCCAACCTCTCAGATTCCCAAGATGAGACTTAACCTTTGAGGTCCCACTGTTGAGTTGGGTCAGTGTCCTCTGACTTCCTTTGGGGATGCTGCGGGAACCTCTTTTCCCCCCAGGTTTCAAAGAGGCAAATTAAGGCTCACTGGATAAGGCAAAGGCCTTTCTGAGGTGACAACAGGAAACTGGTATTCCTTATTGCCATATCTGTGGTCCCAGATAACCTTGGGGGAAAGATGGACCTCAGTAGGGGAAAGTTCAGTGGAGAAGAGGTCACCACTGGTCTAGCCAGATTACCCGAGCTATTCTTGTCTAGCTCATTTATCTTCTCTGTCCTCCAGCCAGACAAATGGGAGGAGAAACAACGACAGAGAGGACCAAACAGCCCCTTCCTCGGGCAGAAATGTCTGCTGACCAATTTGAGTTACAGGTTGTGACGCTGAACTCAGCCCTTTCTTACTAGTTAATAGAATTGTTGATCTCACTGCTACTCTGGCTGAAAGTGTTCTTGGAAACGGCTGGCTAGATGCCTGCGGTATCTTTAGCTTGCCTGGGCTGAAAATAAGGTGGGAAAATCCCATGCGTGGAATGAGTTCAGCACAAGCTGGACACGTCCTGCCTTTGTCCTCAAAACCAACTGGACCCTGGCAGATGCATCTACATCGGCCCCACTGTGTGAGCGCTGGAAGGGTTGCGAGCGGACATTTAGCCCAAATTCATGTATCAGATGGGAGGACATTGAGGCAGGGAGACTTGATACAGCTTTCCCAAGGGCACGAAATTCAGGAGTGGTGAGACTTGGACAAAGAAAGGGTGCTTTGCCCACATCAGATGAAAATCCTCCTTGACTTAGTTCTGAACCAGCTGGTGCTCACGGGCCACCTTGCCTTCCTTTCAAAGTCCAAACAGCAATAAAAGTGAGTCTAAGAAATAATCTGTCTTTTCCTTCCCAAACCACAGGTGCCCCTTCATCTCACTTATCTGACCTCTGCCTCTCTAATGCTCTTTGGTTTTCACTCCCAACCTACACTGTGTGCTGTGTCCAAATCTCCCATTCTGGCCTCTCTCCAATCATTTGCATCCCTAGGCCTGTTTGCAGACCCCAGGCCCAAGCTGTATGCCCAAATGGGACAGGATAGAAGGCCAAACACAGAACATGGGTGTGGAAGGACAGGATTCTTGTCCCAGAACTTACCCTTCCCGGGTCCAGGGCAGCCCAGACTGTGGACACGGGAACGATTTGTTCAACACAAACAAGCCCGGGCAGGCATGTTACAGGGCAGGCATGCATTGCGTGGGGCTTTGTAAACGTTTGTCAGCAGGGCCTCAGCTCCAGCCTCTCAACCCTGGGTGGTCCTCCAGAGGAAACAGCGGCCCTGACCCTGCCTACCAGTTTGGGCTCTGGCTTCAGTGTGCCCGGCCGTACCTCTGGTAAGTCGGTGAAAGGTTAATGGTTTAGCTCATGCCTGCGTCGGCTCTGGAATCTGGGAAAGCTTCCGGGTCTCGTGAATCTGGCTTTGTCCAGAAAAGTCACTTGCCAGGAGGGGCAGGAAGCCAGACAGGGCAGAGTCCAAGAATAGTTGGATCTTTCTGACATTTTGTCTTTGAGGTAGGACGACTGATCCCAAGTGGTCATTCCAACCTTTGTCCTACTTGCCTCCCTTTCATGGAAAAAGGTGTGTACACGTTAAGGGAGGATGGGGGTGTTGTTCTACTCCTGCTTTTTGTCCTGAGTCTTTGCTCCTGCTCTTTTAAGTTCCCAGACTGTGTGTCTTCAACATATATAATTGATCAGGTTAGAATTGAGGTGTGTGTGTGTGTGTGTGTGTGTGTGTGTGTGTGTGTGTGTGTGTAGGGGAGAAAAACAAAGGGAAAAGTTTCGATGTCCTTTACTTTCACTTTTGCTAATCTCTGCCTAGCTACCATCACAGGTGACACATAACTGCGGGGAACTCCTAAAATGAACGCCCTGCCTCCTCTCCCCTCCTCCACTCACACCAAATACTTCAGTTAGAAAAGGAAACAAAAACACATCAATCCTCACAAATTGCATAATAACCCTGGAATGTTCTTTCTATTCTTGCTCCCTGTGTCTTTTCTTGGCTGTTTCTATCTTAACGCTCACCACGACTTTTAAACTAGTCTTTTCAGGCACTTTCCCTCAGTGGGGTCACAGGTCCACTCCACTCTTTACCATAGGGTCAGAGATACCCGGCCTTAGATTACCAGTCTTTATTACTGGATACTGTAGAGAAATCAACTGGTCTGCCTAAATGCAGTTGGGAAATTTCTTGAAGGTTCTCCGACATCCCATTTTATGACTTTCAAGAGCTCAACAGGGACACGGTGGTAGCATCCCAGATAGCTATTCACGCTTCCTTATTCAGGTCCTATTCTGGACACGCAGCTTGTCCGTGACTGTTGCATGCCATGTGGCTGGAACCAATCAGCTCAGCTGAGGCTTCCTCGGAAGCCAATCAGAGCCTAGGGAAGTGACCTCACCCAAGGAGAGCCGTGTGGGTGAGGAAGCATCTCTCAGAACCCTCAGTGTCCCTAAGTCACTCCCTTCCTTACTTCCTGTAAGGCAAAACCTCCTGTCCCCTTCCCCCAAAGAAGGGAATGAGAATGGCTTAATTCCTGAGGGAAAAACCAAAAGAGAACCTGCAACTCTGCCACATGCTGGCTTGTGTACGTGGAGCACAGAACATTTAGGGAGCTCCCTCCGAATAAACTTACCTTTCAGATTGGGGTGTGCAGGGCCGGGAAGACCTGAGTCAGCCGAATAAGAGCCAGCCCCTCCTCCCTCCCTGCACCTGGCTTTCTCGACTCTCCCCATAAAAATAGCTGTAATCATTCTGTGTAAATAAGGACATGATCAAGGTCAAGTGTGGGAAAGGGAGGGCCTGTGTCCTTGTGAACACGCTACACAGAAGTGATCATGTCGCTGTGGCCTGAGGACCAGACCCAGAAGCGAGCTGGTCTGCAGGTGGCATGGGCTGTTCTGTCCAACTCCCTCCAAAGGGCACTGCAGGTGCAGGCCTGAACATCCCCTTGCAGGGCTATATTTTGAGTATGTGGCTCACCTTGGAGGAGGGACAAAGGACAAGAAAGCTATAACCCCGTGTATCACACTGGACTCTCACAGGTAGAGTATGACACAGATGGGCGTCCCCCTCAGCCTTTCCACCAGCCCTCTCCCTCCAGAATTCACCCTGGACACAGAGACAGATAAAAACACTTTATTTAAAAAATATATAGCTACCCCACAATGAATTCATTTATTATGTATCACAAACATACACTAATTTTAAAAAGAGAAAAAATAGAAAAAAAAAAAGAGAGAGACAAAAACCAACCTTACTCTTCCTAGCTACTCCCACCCTCAGTTACATGCACAAAAAGCTGTAAAAGTTGGGAAGGAACGTGTGCAGCCGTCTCAGCTCTAACAAGCTGATTATGCTTTCAGCGCTCCTTTCTCCCCTCGTGGGATGGAGACATCTACCCTCTTCCCAAGATGTAAGAGGTGACATACAGGGAAGGGGGGAGAGGCAGAAGGAAAGCTATGTGGTACCATTCTGCATTCCTATCTCCAGGGACCAGGGAGGTTATCTGGACTCTGACCAAATGACATTTTCTTTGCTCATAAAACTAAGTAATAGTTATTCTCTACATCCCAAATAAAGAGAAGTGTGAGTGTTATTGAGGGCTTTTCTTCAGTAAATAGCCTCGTCCATATTATCATCACTGTCACCTCCGAAGTCCTCTCCATTGTCAAAATATGACATGATGTAGTCTGTTTCCTGCAATGCAGAAAAAGAAAGAAAAAGGCTGTGCATGCTTCCCGCGCTGTCCTTCTTCCCTTCTAGGTCCATCATTCCAGGGCCGGGACATCCCTTCCATCTGTCATTCATTTGTTTTGGTACTAGGGATCAAACTTGGGCCCTTGCGCTTGCCAGGCAGGTGGCAGAACCACTGAGCCAACCCCCCAGCCCTGTCATTCACTTTTGAGAAGCCCCTGCCCTTAGGCAGCTTTATCTCCCTTGGCCCAGTAACCTCCTGAGAAGGTCTCTGGTGTCAAGAGGAGAGAACCCACAGCCTATGAGGGAAGCAGGGGACAAGGGTCCCTAACCTCTTCATGTTCTTCCTCATCATACTCCTCCTCCTCCTCTTCTTCCTTTTCTTCTTCTTCTTCTTTCTCCTCATCTTCCTCTGACGTCACTTCCGCTTCCTTCTTCTCCAGGGTCTTAAGTGAAGATAAATATGAAGAGAAACTCCAACTCGGCTCGCAGAAAGGGAAAACTGAGGCATACATGGGCCAAGGGACAGGAAAACAATCTGGGGCCCGGGAGCTCTTTGTGTAGACGGCAAGTCCTGCTCACCTCTAGTTTCTGTATTGTTTCCTCTTTATCTTCTGTGGTCTTAGGGGGCCTCTTGGGGAGTAGAATGGTTGTCCCTGGTGTGTGTGCGGGATCAAAAGGTAAACCATCAGCTCCTTAGTCTCCCGGCGAGCTTTCTACACCAGCCTCCGGAAAACAAACAAGCCACTTTGCTGCCCTCATGTGGCCATCGAGGCATCCAGCAACAACGCTAGGGCTGGGTAGGTACTTAGAGGAGAGGGGAGGGAGGCTCTAGAGCTGCTGGAAGATGCTTTTCTTCTCCCTCTTCCCCATACACTTACGCTCCTTCTGTAGCTTCCGCACTCGAATCTTTAGCTCCCGGGGTAAACGCCGCCAGTCTGGGAAGAATGACAGTGTCAGTAAGACCCGTCTGGGTTTCTGATGAGTGAGGACTGCTGAAAAGGTCTTAGGGGAGGGAAGGGACAGGGCTGGGTCCAAGTTTCTCATGCTGCCGGAGAGCGGGGGCTGAGCTGTGAGATTTTTCAGGTGGCATCTGAGAGTCTGGGGAGCACATCCAAGGCTCTGATTTGCAGATGCTTCATGGGGAGGGGAGCATGGGACCACTGGGCGGGCGTGGCGTCACAAGCCCTTGGACGCATCACCTACCCGGGTTCCAGTCAATGGCACTGTCAATCGGCCCAGACGTCTGATATTTGTCTGAGTAACGCTCCACATCTGAGGGGTCAGAGGTCGAGAGTCAAAAAGTTTTATCCACCCAGGTGCCTGGAACGGGGTTGTTTCTGAGGGTTGTTTCTTTTCAGTCCCAAGGAGTTATTTGTCCCAGAGCCCAGGGGATCAGCTTCCGTGAACTTATCACTCTTCTAACCTGCCCTTTTGCCTCCCCAAATTATGATGATTTTGCTGTATCAAGAGATAGGACGGTGGACCATGCCTGTAATCCTAGTACCCTAAGAGGCTGACACAGGAAGATCGCAAGTTCGAGCACAGCCTGGACAATTTGGCCACTTAGAAAGACCCTGTCTCCGAATAAAAAATGAAAAAGGGCTGGGAGAGGTTGCTCAGTGTGAAGGCCTTGGGTTCAACCCCCAGTACCCAGAAAAAAAGAGAAAGGGTGGGGCACAGGCAACTTGTAGGGAATAAGAGGCCAGGGTTTCAGTCTTCTCCTTATTCCTCAGTAGTGGGACTCATTTAGTGAGTTCTTCATCTGTCTGAGCCTCCGGTTTCCAGGACTTCAGCAGGAAAGCACCAGCTGTCACTTATACTAAATTGCCCCTGTCCTTCCACACCAGTTGGTAAATTCCCTCAGTCCCAAGTCTCCCTCATCTGGTCCCTCCTAGCCTCCCAGAGCTCCCTCTGACCCACAAGGCACAGGGTTATTTTATGTAGGTAGGGTACTCAGAGATCCAGCACCAGTGCTTTTCTGATTGGTTGGGATGTTAAGTTTTGTTAAAAACTCTAAGCCTGGTATGATAGCATATGCCTGTAATCCCAGCACTCTAGGAGGCTGAGGCAGGAGGACTCCAAGTTTGAACCTTACCCAGGCAATTTAGCAGAACCTATCTCAAAATATAAAAAAGTAAAAAATGCTGGGCCTGTGGCTCAGTATGAAGGCCCTGAGTTCACTCCCCACTACCCTCTCCCAAATTAATACTTCCCCCAATTATACATGTGCAATGAGACCTTAACACTTGACCTCCTATTGCCCCAAGACTATTGTGAGTCTCAAAATCAATCACAAATACTGTAATGCATTTCACATACAGGAGTAACTCCCCACTCAGTGCGCTTCTGTGTCTCTCTCAGCAGTGCTGAGTGCAGGCACTCCCGACCTGATGCAGCTGACCTTTCTTGGGGATAGCTGGTCGGATGAAATAGGGGAGCTGCCTCATAGCCCCTCGTAGCTCCTGCTTCAGTGCCAGGACATATTCCCCTTCTTCTCCTGAGGGCAGAGGCACTGGGCGGAACTCCAAGGGCTAAGGAGGCAGAAGCAGTGGTCAGTTCGGGGAGAGAATGCCAGAGACCAAACTCAAGAAGGCCTCCCCTTGATTTAACCCAACATTCCCACTGAGCAGAGAGCCAGAAGAGAGGAGGGTGGGAGGAGATGACCCAGCATTTGGAAAGCTAGGCAGTGTTAGATTTTCCTTGCCTTAAAATGGCTGCTACATAAAACAACAGGCTTCTCCTTCCCATAATGCCCTGCTTCCCATTTAGAATATGGCTTCTTCCACCAAAAGGACAACCTTCTTCCCAAAAATGCCCCTCTTCCTGCCAAAAGAGCAACCTGATGCTTGCTATCTCCCTAGTAACTAGTGATGTCACAGACTCTTCCAATCCCTTACCGCTATATCACTTGACCCCACCTCAGCTCCTATAAGAAGCACTCCCTGTGCCAGCCATATTGCTTGCTCTCTTTTGTTTGGAGACAGCCTGGCAGATCCTCCCCATAATAAAGGCTTGTTATGGTTCTGGTCTGGTCCTGGTTTTTCGCTCTTTTTACCTAACATATCTGGTGCTGAGACCCGGGAGGAAGGTGGTCCATTAAGTGACAATCCCCACAGGCCAAGGTCGACTGGCCTTTTGGCTATCTCCTCCAGACCACATCTGCCAAGCCAGGACCTCCTAGGGGCTTTCTACCTGTGCCATTGCTAAGACTCACATCCACACAGGTCACTGATTTAAGGGTGAGTAGGTAGTTAGCGTCCCTCTACTTGGGTCCTCTGTCTTGTTTTTGTTCTCTCCCTCTGGGGACTACTTGAAAATCCAAGGGTTGGTCAGAGAGACCCTCTCAGGCCCCTGGGCCCAGGACCATGCCCCTGGGGAATGCCCCCTCTGCCCAACTCCTCTTTCTCCCCTTCTGGGGACTGGCTCAGGGAATATCAAAAGAGACAAAGACATTCTTCTCTTTTGCCCTCCTCCTAGGGAGCTAACTCCTCCTCATCCATCCTAACTTGGGCGCCCAACAGTCCAAAACCCTCCCTCAACGCCTCTTGGCTGCCTCCTGGCACAACTTCATTCCCTTGGATTGTTGGGACCCGACTTTAAGCGAAAATGACTCATTTTTTTATTGCAACCAAGTTTGACCTCAATACAAATTAGATAATAAATCTCAATGGCCCAAAAATGGTACTTTCAATTTTAAATTCAATTGCACGATTTATGAATTTTTGTCAGTGCAATGGCACATGGTCACAAATCCCCTACTTACAAGCCTTCTTTCTCGCCCCTCCCTCTGTCAAACCTGTTGGCCCTTTCAGGTACTTCTACCCCTAACTCTGTTGTCCACCCCTCCAGTTCCACCCTCCCCATTCTCCTTGCCCGAGTGACTCCCTCCCCACCCCAATCTCAGCCCAGACTCCAGTGACTACTTTTGATTTGGTGGATCACTTTATAAAAGGTCGTTTTGCCTGTGAGGCTCCTCTTGGTAAAACGCCATTTTATTCTTGTCTTGTACATGTTACTGTTTGGACTTAATTGCTTAAAATTATTATAAAATGGGCATGTGAATTTCCTCTAGCTTTGGTATTCAAGTTTGCTTATTTGTACAAAAAAATTAATTTACCTTTTATTTTTTAAAATTTATTTTTTTGGTTTTTGTTTTTTTGAGACAGGGTCTCACTATGTATTTGAGACTGACCTGGAACTCACTATGTAGCCCAGGCTGGTCTCGAACTCACAGTGATCCTCCTGCCTCAGCCTCCCAATAATTTACCTTTTAATGGGTTGTTGTCTTCCTTCAGTATCTGCAAGCCAGGTGGGAGTTAATTTGTTTCTAAAACAGTACAAATTTTTTTTGTGGTTTCACTTACAAATGGGTCTCTGCATCTCAAGGTTACACATTTTTCTACATTTCATTTAAGGCAGAGATAAAACTCCAGGCTACAGAACATAATAGACTATTCTTATATCTTAGATGTCACTGGACACAATAAATAAACTCTGTTCTTGACCCCACACCTACCTTAAGGCAAGAATTTTGTTTTCATTCCCTCCTCTGGCTAATTGACAGATGTACCCTTCTTCTCCAACTTAAAATAATGTTTAATAAGTATGCTTAAAACATTTCTTGTACATTACAAATTCTTACATTGTAATTATAGGGGTAACTTGCTCTTTCTGTATTTTGTTGATTAAAAAAAAACTCAGGGTTACAAATACTCTATTGTCAACCATCAATTTTTAAAGTATAACACTGAGGAGATTTTTAAAAAAAGGTAACACTTTAAAAATTTTAACTAATGAAGCCAAGTTTGTTATGAAAGGTTTATAGTAAATGAGATAGGAAAAAATATATTTTAAAAGGCTATAAATAAAGGGGATATACCTTTCATTAAAAAAATTTTTTCATGTTTGTCTTGTTAAAGACTAGAGATATACAAGACCAAAAGGCCTAAGTATGTCAAGAAGATACGCTGAAGTGATTTATCAAAGAAATATATATGCTTGCTTGTTGGTTTCAAGTTTGTTATGAAAGGTGGACATTTAGAGTCATAAAGAGCTTTCATGTCTTCTGATTCTAATTCTACAAAAGATCTCTGTTAATTGACCTGAAAAAATTTTGACTAGTCTTAATTAAAAGATGTTATCATTCAACTGGCCAAATATATTTGAGTGCACTCTAGTTTCATAAATTGTTTTATGTTTGTCTGCATCTGTCCAATTGTTTAAAAGCGTTTGTCCAATTATATTTTTTGATCAAAATGACATCAAAGATACAAATAAATTGTTAATTTCTACAACCTGGTTTTATAGGTTATTTAAAAAATTGTCAAGATAATTAAATATAAACTTTTAGGTTTGGATAGACTCCTTTTGGTGAATAAACAAACAGCTGCTCAGAAAAATTTATTCTGGTCTTTGTTCAGTAATGGGAGCCCCAGTAATTTTCATAGCCTTATGGGATGATATACCCCCAATAAACATTGTTAAACATGTTGTTATAAAATATTTACATTGGTTATCATCAAAGGGTTTAGTTTTAAATATGCTGTGATGTCTTTATAATGGTCATCTTCAAAATATATTTTCTGTGGAAAAACGAGGAGCTATTAAAAAAAGATCCTCTACACTACAGGACATAAGGTTTCATATAATTATAATAATTTTTATTACTTTTCTGGTGTACAAAATATATTCATGTTTTCTGACTATACAGGTCTTCTAACATATTGTTTATGACAATAACCTTTTGATCCAGGTATTCACCCTTCTCTTCTACTCCACCTATTCAGGATTACAGGTACATTTGTAGGCCCATACACTTTCCTTAGATGGCATTTTATCAAAAGATATAACTTAAATAAGAGTTTCCTGTTTTTTTCTGTGTTTTTAGAGGGGCATAAATACATTTAACAATAGCTCTTTTACACTGAGATACATATCTAAGTTTGTTGCAAAGATAATATCATGATTGTCATGCTAAAATATTATAATTATTATGTGTGGCTCCTGATTCCAAGTTTTTTCTGTTAATATTCTACAGGAAATTAACTACTAGAACAACCACGATTGATAAAAATAACAGTCCTCTAACTATGTTTTAGATCACAGGGTGCTGGCAATCCGATAAATGATAGTTAAACTCACTGCTCCTAAGGTACTAATGTCACTGATCTTCTCTTCTGGGTGTTCAACCACCAAAGTGCAGAGACCAACACTAAAAGGTAACTGGGCTAAGAAGACTGCCAGTATTTTGGCCCTGGCCCTCCAAGGTCATCAAAGATCCAAGGTATGAAGGAACCTTTTCTACACACCTTACATCTTTGGTAAGTCACCCAACATCCTGAGCAGGAAGACTGCTGGACACCAGAGGACAAATGTACCGTGTGCCAGAAGCAGGTCACCAAGAGAAAAAAATCTCCCATGCTTTCACTGAAAGCTACTTGGTCAAGCAAGGTGGTGACCCATCCTGACAGCTGACACCGACAGAGGAGCAGAGAGGCTCTATGCATGGTTACAAAGTAATGGACTGAGGAGACTTACTTGACCTTGATAGATAACAAGAGGTTCATATTGATTAACACGGGTCTCACTTTAACTTGGTCTTAAACACCCAACAGAAAAAAAAAAAAAAAAAACCCAAAAGAGGTATAAAACAGTGCCATAGTCATAAAGCCAGATATAAAAAAGGGCTCCAGTCATTGACCCCTTCTGGCAGTTTCCAGCTCTACTGTATGGGAAATATTATATCTCTAGACTATTCTACATGTAAAGAAAGGCAGGGTACGTGGGCCTGCTGGACACTAAAAACACAATGGGATCATTAAAACAATGGCAGGAGCAGACAGAAGAACGGCTCATAGCCAAAACATGCAAAACACTTCTCCCCATATAAAAATATTGATCTGTCCACCTGTCCACACATGCACACATACAGCTGCTGAGACACATAAAAGGCTCCTACACCTCGTGAACACCACCATACTTAGCTTGCCAGGCAACCAAACTGAGTGCTGAATGTCCCCATACCAATTCCCCTTAACTGGACCATCCCTGCCCCCAAAAATATCACAATATTAGACCCCTTAGCAACCCAATTAAAATCCTCCACACATGGTGATTGGACCCGTATAAATTCATCTATCATAAATCAGTACAACTCTACCCCTTACGCTAAAGTTATTCATATTCCTGAGTCGGGCATAACCTGTCTCCTTAGGGATTTATTTTATATCTGTGACTCCCAAGCCTTTCGCTGTCTCAACTCAACTCCATCTTCCCTCGGTTATGTGGGCTTCCATAGCCCTCCCCTCACAATTTACACAGAAACCCAGTTATTACAGCAAATCTTGCCCTCACAACAGCCACCTATCCACTGTCTCAGGAAGTGCACTCTCCCTGTACTTCTCCTTCTGTTAAGGGCCAGTATTTTGGTGGGAATTGGCACTGGGGGAGCAGGAATCTCAACATCAACACATTTCTATGACTCCCTATCCCTACCCTAAGAGCTAAATAAGATACGGAAGAGGTAGCCGACTCTCTGGTCACCCTACAGTCCCAAATCAATCCACTGGCAGGTGTGATTCTCCAGAATAGATAATAATTTGCCTGTTGGAGACAAGGCAAAGAAACTCAGGGAATGCATAGAAAAACATAGACAAGACCTAGACTGGCTACACTCACTGCCAGGATACTCTGACCAATGGCTTCCATGACTTCTTCCTTTCCTGGGTCCCCTCACCATTCTCTACATAATCCTACTGTTCAGACCCTTTCTGTTCTGTTGTCTTTAAAATTTCTTACAGGAACGCATGAGAGCACTTACCAACCAGACAGTTAAGGAATTCATCATGGTGGGGTATCGGCCACTGCAGCAGAAGGAAGAAGACCCCACCTACTGCTGCCCCCATCAGACCCAGGTTTAACCTCAACCTTTGCCCCATTGTCAGCTTGAAGCAGCTCCAGAAGAAGAGACCTTCGCCCAACAACCATAAAACAAAAGCCTGGAATGTTAGATTTTCCTTGCCTTGAGATAGCTGCTACATGTACAACAGGCTTCTCCTTCCCATAATGCCCTGCTTCCCATTTAGAATATGGCTTCTTCCACCAAAAGAACCTTCTTCTTCCCAAAATGCCCCTCTTCCTGCCAAAAGAGCAACCTGATGCTTGCTATCTCCCTAGCAACTAGTGATGTCACAGACTCCTCCAATCCCTTACCGCCACATTACTTGACCCCACCCCAGCTCCTATAAAAAGCGCTCCCTGTCTCAGCCATATTGCTCTTTTTTTGTTGTTTGGAGACAGCCTGGCAGATCCTCCCCATAATAAAGGCTTGTTATGGTCTTGGTCTGGTCCTGGTTTTTGGCTCTTTTTAACTAATCAGGAGCTGGGAGGGTGAGAAGGAAGGGTAAATGTTTTCTTAGCCTGGAAACTTCCCCTGTGGGTTGGGAAGGAGACTGGAGGGGCGAGATGAGGATGGTAGTAGGATGGGACGGCCAGGAGGAATCCAGGAGCACACACAGTCAGTCGGAGCACACTGGAGTCTCGGAAGGAAGGGGATTACTCACAGGGAAGAGTGGAGACGGCTGCAGAGTGGGTGGAGGCAAAGCATCCCCCTTTCCAATGCCCACTGCTTCCATGTTGAAGGTCAGCTGGCCGCGGCCACGACCCCGGCCCCCACCCCGGCTGGCCATGGTGGAGGGGCCTGGATATTCAGAGCTGCAGTGAGAAAAACCTGATAAGGACATAAACAAAGAAAAAGGAATACATTAGAAGAATCCGATACAACACTGTGTGCTTTTCTACATGTAACTACGAATTCTCTCCCTTTCTCTCCCTGACCTTCCAAAGTCAACCAGGGTCCCAGTCAGTCTAGTACAGTTCAGCAAAACATTTACTATGAAAAAGGTAGTGTGTCAGACACTGTGGGGACAGTGAGTCAACAACCTCACTGTCAACCAAGGGGCAAGAGACATTATAATCAAATTGATCTTTTTGAGCACTATTTGGAAGCACAGACTCTTAGCAGGACTCTCAGAGGTCACTAATCCAAACCCTTTGCAGGGCAAGCAACATGCTGTAAAAAGTTATTCTGCCTCCGATAGAGTTTTCCTAAGCACTCTTCAGAAAAGGCCATGCGTCTCAGGGCCAGGAGTGCAATGGATAATGCCTCTCTGGAGCCAAGATTCCAAGTTGACTCCTGGCTGGCTCTTTGGGACTGGTACTCCTTTTTGGTGGGTGTGCTACAGAGGCTGAAGCAGGAGGATCACCACAAGTTCAGCACCAACCTGATCTACACAGTGAGACCCTGTCTCAAACAAAACAAAACAAGGTCATGAGCTTGGAAATCAGACAAACCTAATTATTTCCACATAAAAAGTTAGTGAACTCTAAGGGTTCGGGGTGGGGGGGAGACAGAATTTCATTTAATCCAGGCAATAAATTGATAGTTGGAAACTAAGTGACTCCTCTCAGGTCAAGAATCTACAGGCATCTCTGCTATTTCTGACCGTGATGGAGCCTAAAGTCTTGAAGGTCTCCCCTACTCTGGTCCCAATCTGAACCTCCCTAAGAGTGACCTTTTTTAGGGTTCACCTCTGCACTCTGCTTTCCCCTAAGCCACATCTATGTACACTACACTTACCCCAGTTCCATATACCTATGTACCGCGGTGAGGCAAGTTTCAACAAAACAAACAGAAAACACCAATAGATACGTCAAATGTGAGGAAGGTGCCCACAGAGGATAAGAACATGGATTTGAATTACAGTTCTGCCATTTCCTAGATACACAAACTGTGGCAAGGGGCTAAGGGCAGGAGTAATCTAACTTTTATAGTTGCTGTATGTGTAGTAAGTCTGGAAGCTAACACTTTTTTAAATTTTATTTTATTTATTTATTTATTTTGTACTGGATCAAACTCAGGCCCTTGCACTTGCGAGGCAGGCACCGGAACCACTGAGCTAAATCCCCAGCCCTAACACTTTTTTATATTAGAACTTGTGGAAGTCTAAATGGAAAGGGAAAAAAAAAAAAAAAAAAAAAAAAAAAGCACTTCAGTAGAAAAAGTGGGCAAGAGAAATTAATAGGAAATTGACAAAAGAATGGCAAATAAAACCACTCTACACTCTACACCTAGCCAAAGGTAGTGGTGCACGCCTGCAATCCAGCACTCCAGAGGCTCAGGCAGGAGGATTACTGGGAGTTCGAGGCCAGCCTGGGCTACATAGTGAGTTCAAGGCCAGCCTGCACTACAAAGTGATGAGTTCGAGGCCAGCCTGGGCTACATAGTGAGTTCAAGGCCAGCCTGCACTACAAAGTGAGACCCTGCCTCAAAAAACCAAAACCAAAACCAAACAAAAAAACCCCCCAAACCCACTCTATACCTATAGACTCAACAAAGATTTAAATAATAATCAAGATGTGCACTGCCTGACTCACAAGCCCAAGGACCCCAGTGTGATCCCCCATATAAAAAAAAAAAAAAAAAAAGATGTTGTGATGTTTTTTCAGATGGACTTTCATACCTCCCCGGAAAGACTATGAATACAATCACATTTTGATCACTCAAGACTCAATAGCCTTTTACACGATTATATCCTTAATCTGGTAATTCTACTTTTAAAAATCTATGCTAAAGAAATCACTGCATATACAGAGATATAAGTACTAGGATGTTTATCAAATAGCTACTGATGGTAGAAAAAATTCTGAAATAACCTAAATGGTTCAATAATCAAAGGATGAGCTGGGCATGTGGCACACGCCTCTAATCTCAGCACTCAAGAGGTTGAGGATCACCACCAGTTTGAGGCCAGCCCAAGCTACATAGAGAGTTCAAGACCACCCTGAACTACATAGTGAGATGCTGAACCTCAAAACCCAAAATAATAATAATAATGATAACAGTAAATAGATGGTTTGAAAAATCAGATAACTAGCCAGGCATGGTGGTCTAGACTATAATCCTATCACTGGAGAGGTGAGTTCGAGGCCAGACTGAACTACATAGGGAGACACCATCTTAACCCCCCCGCAAAAAAATTCAAAAAACAAAACCAGGTGTGATGGCGCACGCCTGTAATCCCAGACTCGTAGGAGGACTGCTGTGAGTTCAATCAGCCTGGGCTACATGGTGAGCTCCACATCAGTCTCAACTACATAGTGAGACCCTGTCTCAAAAAAAACCCACAAAACAAACAAACAAACAAATTAATTTATCATTTTAGACTATTCTGTAGCCACAAAAATCATGATTTCAAATATTTAAAGGCAGAAAAAAGCTCACTGTATAGAAATTCTCAACAGTTGAGAACATGATATAAAATTATATAGTCCTATTTATGAATGAGATACACAAGTACACACAGAATAAAGACAGGAAAATAATGCATATAAAAAAAAATTTTTGGTAGCAGGGATCAGACTCAGAACCTTGCACTTGTGAGGCTGGCGCGACACCACTGAACTAAATCCCCAGCCCTCAAAATATTCATATCATGTGGAGGTACAAGATCCCAACAATGAATGTAACTGTACTGTATCCCTAAAATGTACCAATAAACTCAATTAAAGCTGAAAAAAATAGTCATAATAGTTATATCAGGGTCCTGACATAATAGGCATTTTCCTTTATATATTTATGTTTCTAAATGTTCTGGAGTAAGTGAATATTACTGCTATAATCATCAAATAGAAGGGCTGCATTGCTTTTAAGAATTCTATAAACTGAGGGTGGTGGCACATGCCTATAAGGCCCACACTCTGGGAGGCTGAGGCAGGAACATCCCAAGTTCAACCCCAGCCTGGACAACTAAGTAACTTAGCAAGACCTTATCTCAAAACTTAAAAAATTAAAAAGGTCTGGGGGAATATAGCTCAGTGCAAAGGCCCTGGGCTCAATACCCAGTACAAGAAAAAAAAAAAAAAAGAAGGGGCTACAAATTTATCTCCCTCTTGTATAATGGAAGTATAGAATGCATTTCTTTAAGCTACATGTTTCTTATTTAAAATATCTGTTGGATACTAATTAAAGAACAAATATTCCAAAATGGAATGAACTGCAAAGAGAGATAGTGAGTTCTTCGATAAAGATGACGGCATGGGGAAGGGGTGTAGCGCAGTAGTAGAGTCCATGCTTAGCATGCATGAGGCCCTGGGTTCAAACTCATCGCCAAAAAAGAAAAAGAAAGAAATGTAGGCAGAAGTTGAATAACAATGTATCAAATAAGTTGATCCCAGGAAGGATGTATGTTAGAGCAAAGGCTCCTCATTGTCTCTGGCATATATGGCATATGAGAGGTACTTGATAATATTTGTTGAATGAATGAATAAATTCATGACTTCTATGAGCTTCCAAACCAGAGACTTGGTGATTCATAAAGCCTTCCCTCTGGCTCTCTGCTTTCTTCCTTCTCTGGACTATAGGAACAATCAGGGAATACTAATATTTTAAACCACTAATTTAAAGGCTCTTAATTATATGTACTGTATTATCTTTTATTATTGTCCAATTACATTAGGAGTTTAAATTCCGCCTCCACAACAAGAGTGCTAGTTTCCAGATATCAAGTCCATTCAATCAACACTTACTGGCACTACGTATCAGGCCCTAGAACTGGCCCTACAAACCTGATATTCTAAGAATTATAGAAACATTAAAAGAGATGATAGTTCACTTTAAATTCTCTAATACAGATATACATATAATGCTATCATCAAATCCAGCCTGGGGCCCATAATCCCAGCACTCCGGAGGCTGAGGCAGGAGAATCCTGGCAGCAAGACCAGTCTGGACTACATAGTGAAACCTTATCTCAAAAACGAAACAATGCATCATCAGAGAGGGTAGGAATTTTGCAAGCTACAGGTAGGAGATATTCGGCTAAGTCTTGATAGATCACAGGAGTTTGTCAGGCTCTTAGGGCGATAATGTTACTAGATCGAGGAGAAGCTGATGCCATAGCAAACAGTGAAGGTCCAAGAGTGAACCTTTCTGATTTTCTGCTTCAATCTCTTGCTTGATGGGTGGCAGAAAATCTGATCAAAACAGCAGTGGGAGCACAGAGGAGAAAAGGTAGGGAGCCAGCAGGGGGCTGATCCAACAGGATCAGCTACCGGACGGCGCTGTCTAGCCTGCAGTCTGTCTCAGGTGAACTAGTTCGGAAAGTGTGAGACCCGGGGAGGTCCCAGTCATCGGGTCGGAGCCTTACCTGCTGCCCCTCCCCCACACGGAGCCCACGCCGAGGCCAACTTGGAATTTGCTCCTCTTCCTCAAGCGGGCGGCGTTCTTGGCCCGCCTCCCGGCGCTCCCTATTGGTGGGTTCTCCCAGCCAATCTAGGAGAAGCGGAGGAGGGAGGTCCGCCCACTTTGAAAGCCTAGGAGCAGAGGCTGGGAGAGAGCCCGCCGGAACTGAGGCTAGAAACCGCGGCGGCTCGGAGAGAGATGGGTTTACAGATCACCAGGGGTCCGTTAGTCCTACCTCACCGCTTTTGGAGGAGGTCCGGGTTAGCAAGAGTTCTCGGAAAGAACTTGACACTCAGATCTTAGAGGGATCTGTAGAGGGAACCCCCGCCCCCACCCCGAGGGCTCAAAGAGAGGAAAGAGCCTGACTCTGGCTTGACAGTTTGGCCTCTCCTCCATGACAACATCCTTCCCTTCAGTTCTACACCGTGTTCTCCAGTACCACCAATGGATACTTCTAAGGATGTTTTTCTGTGGGTTGCTGCCGTGTCAGTGAAAAGGTGGAGAGAGGATTGGGGACGGATTGGTTATCAGAGAAAGAGAGTTGGAGGCGAGACAAGAGCCCAGTATTTTCTGCATTTTCCACTGCTTTTGGGCCCCTCCAAGCCCTTGGGTAGGGGGCTCAGGGCGGAAGGAGTCCTACTTTCACAGAAGACACAGGGAAGGAGCGCAGAGGATAGATAAAATCGAGGAGTTAGCCGACAAGAGTATCCCCGCTGTCAGAGAAAATGACCTCTAGACTGGGAGGCTGTGGGTAGGTATTGTAGCAGGTGGACTAGGACAAAGACAATAGCTGTGAAGCTTTGAAATTTTTGCTTAACCTTACTATGTCAAGTGTTACAAGAAGATAGTAGCTCGTACCTTATGGAGGTGTTGTGAAGACTGGAAGTAGTGTATGTAAAGCACTTGGAACATAGTCGGCATCGGTGACTACTAAAAATGGCTCGTTTCCCTGCCACTAGTTCTTTCTCCCCTTTCCCCGGGGACTTTAGTTTGCCTGTGGCCTCCAGTCTCTGAATTATCTAGAACCATAGGTGATCCTTCCAATTCTTAAGGATTTTTCCTCATCCCCCACTTCCCTTCGTGCCTTCCAGCTGGACACACTCATTCCTAAAATATGCAGATGGAAGCTATGGTAACCATGGAGACAGGTTAGGTGGCAAGGAGAGGCAGCGACAGTGAGAGGACAACGACAAATAGGAAGAGAGAAGACATAGGAATGATACGTACAGGGTCCTCCGAGCAAGATAAAGAATCTAAAGATAACAGCAGAGGCAATGGGAGAAGGCTGTGTCGCAGGTTTCCTGCCCCCATCTGGGAGAGAGACACCCGGGAGTGCCCCTTGGCCTATCTAAAAATGCCCGAGGGTACCTACCTTCCTCACACTTATCTAAGAGGTCTAAATGAGGCAGCTGAGCTCCACGTTTCTCTGTGATGTGTGTTCTGCTCTGGGAAAAGTGGGCTGGGGTTGTGTTGCTGTGTCTGACTCCAGCTGGACCGTGCTTTCCCTGACGCCCGAACTACATAGAAGAAGGCAGCCGGGTCCCCCGCCTCTCTCGCAGTGTGGACACCAATGAGAATCCCAATCGCCTCTCTGCACCCCTGGGCACAGTGTGCCATATGCCGTGCGTGTCAGGTCTGGCGCACAGGAGCGCATAAACACACCAAGTGGGAGAATGGAGGTCTGCGAGAGCTCAGTGAAGAATCTGAATGGTCCCTGTGTGGGTCGCCGAGGAGCCCCCCGAGGAACGCTTAGGTTTGTCGGGACTGAAGGGAGGTCAGCTGAGAAAGGGAAGCCAGGATTGGAGCCCCTAGGTATTTCAGGGTTTCTGTGTTCTTTGGAGGGGAGCGGTTCGGTGCCCGACGCCCCCACCCGCAGAGGCTGGGCTATAAATAGCACAGCAGAGCTCCGCCCCCCCCCAGCTCCTCTCCTCCCGAGCCGGCGCTGTGCCCGGGGCGCACCGGGAGGAGGGACCAGGATCCGGCGCCGGGGCGCAGATACTGACACCAAGGAATCCGGGTGCCCCCCCAGGCCATGTGGACCCCCAGGAATGCGGCTCCTCCACCCTGGCTGTCCCATGGCCCCGGCCTCAATCCTGGCTAGGCAGAGATTCTGCGGATATCCAGGTATCTATTTGGGTGCACAGTCTGGGAGGGGAATGAGCAGGAAGCGAAGCGATGGGGCACACGGAGGCTAAAGAAACCCCCAATTCTTCCTTCGCCCCTTTTGGGTACCAAACGCAAGTTGCTTCCTTCCCCCTACTCAATTTTTTGGGTTGTAGCAACCTAAAAGAGGTTAGGAAAGGACATATGTGTGTAACTGTAGAGTGCATGTGTGTGGGTGGTTGGTGTTCAGCATCCTAGAAAGGGGGATTCCAAGTGTGGTTAAGAAAAGGGGGATGTTGGAAAGGTCTGATAAGCCGTGGGGTGAGGGTGGGGTGCGAGTCCTGCGCGTGCACGTACGCATTTGCACGCGCGCTCATCCTTCCCTGCGGGTGCACCCTTCCCACCTTCTTAGGCATGCGCTGGGGGGAAGGGGCGGCTCAAAGGCAGGAGTTAGAGGAAAGACTGTGCGCGGGGGAGATGTCCCTCGCCCCACGCCAGTGCCTCCTGCCTCAGTTTCCCTGCCGAATCCGTCAATCAGATCTCTCTCTTTCTCGCAGGGATAGGCTTCGTCTCTGAGACCACAGGCCTCTGCCAGTCACTCCTCCCAGACCCTTAGCCACCCTCGGCAGGTCTCAGTCTCGGCTCCTTCGGTGCTCTCCACCCAGCCGCAGCTATGCTGCATACCGAGGGCCACGCTCTTCTCCGGGCTGTGGGTCAGGGTAAGCTGCGCTTGGCCCGTTTGCTTCTGGAGGGAGGAGCCTACGTGAACGAGGGTGATGCCCAGGGGGAGACTGCGCTAATGGCGGCCTGTCGAGCCCGCTACGACGACCCCCAGAACAAGGCGCGCATGGTACGCTACCTCCTGGAGCAAGGCGCGGACCCCAACATCGCAGACCGCCTGGGGCGCACGGCGCTCATGCACGCTTGCGCCGGGGGTGGGGGCGCCGCAGTGGCCTCGCTG